ATCTGTGCAATCACTTGGGCGAAGCGTTTTGCAAGCGCTTGCAGCTTGGGGAGGGCATGTGACCAGAAAGCTACCCGGCTGATGCTCATGATGCTCGCCTCCTGCCTCGTCACATCTGTGCAATCACTGGGGCGAAGCGTTTTGCAAGCGTTTGCAGCTTGGGGAGGGCATGTGACCAGAAAGCTACCCGGCTGATGCTCATGATGCTCGCCTCCCGCCTCGTCACAACTGGGGCGAAGCGTCTTGCAAGCGTTTGCAGTTTGGGGAGGGCATGTGACCAGAAAGCTACCCGGCTGATGCTCGTGATGCTCGCCTCCCGCCTCGTCACATCTGTGCAATCACTGGGGGGAAGCGTTTTGCAAGCATTTGCAGCTTGGGGACGTGATGCTCGCCTCCCGCCTCGTCACATCTGTGCAATCACTGGGGTGAAGCGTTTTGCAAGCGTTTGCAGCTTGGGGAGGGCATGTGACCAGAAAGCTACCCGGCTGATGCTCATGATGCTCGCCTCCCGCCTCGCCACATCTGTGCAATCACTGGGGCTAAGCGTTTTGCAAGCGTTTGTAGCTTGGGGAGGGCATGTGACCAGAAAGCTACCCGGCTGATGCTCATGATGCTCGCCTCCCGCCTCGTCACATCTGCGCAATCACTGGGGCGAAGCGTTTTGCAAGCGTTTGCAGCTTGGGGAGGGCATGTGACCAGAAAGCTACCCGGCTGATTGTCATGATGCTCGCCTCCTGCCTCGTCACATCTGTGCAATCACTGGGGCGAAGCGTCTTGCAAGCGTTTGCAGCTTGGGGAGGGCATGTGACCAGAAAGCTACCCGGCTGATGCTCATGATGCTCGCCTCCCCCCTCGTCACATCTGTGCAATCACTGGGGCGAAGCGCTTTGCAGGCGTTTGCAGCTTGGGGAGGGCATGTGACCAGAAAGCTACCCGGCTGATTGTCATGATGCTCGCCTCCCGCCTCGTCACATCTGTGCAATCACTGGGGGGGAGCGTTTTGCAAGCGTTTGCAGCTTGGGGAGGGCATGTGACCAGAAAGCTACCATGATGCTCATGATGCTCGCCTCCCGCCTCGTCACATCTGCGCAATCACTGGGGCGAAGCGTTTTGCAAGCGTTTGCAGCTTGGGGAGGGCATGTGACCAGAAAGCTACCCGGCTGATGCTCATGATGCTCGCCTCCTGCTCGTCACATCTGTGCAATCACTGGGGCGAAGCGTTTTGCAAGCTTTTGCAGCTTGGGGAGGGCATGTGACCAGAATACTACCCGGCTGATGCTCATGGTTCTCGCGTTTTGCAAGCGTTTGCAGCTTGGGGAGGGCATGTGACCAGAAAGCTACCCGGCTGATGCTCATGATGCTCGCCTCCCGCCTCGTCACATCTGAATCACTGGGGCGAGGGGTTTTGCAAGCGTTTGCAGCTTGGGGAGGGCATGTGACCAGAAAGCTACCCGGCTGATGCTCATGATGCTCGCCTCCCGCCTCGTCACAAATCTGGGGCGAAGCGTTTTGCAAGCGTTTGCAGCTTGGGGAGGGCATGTGACCAGAAAGCTACCCGGCTGATGCTCATGATGCTCGCCTCCCGCCTCGTCACATCTGTGCAATCACTGGTTCGAAGCGTTTTGCAAGCGTTTGCAGCTTGGGGAGGGCATGTGACCAGAAAGCTACCCGGCTGATGCTCATGATGCTCGCCTCCCGCCTCGTCACATCTGCGCAATCACTGGGGCGAAGCGTTTTGCAAGCGTTTGCAGCTTGGGGAGGGCATGTGACCAGAAAGCTACCCGGCTGATGCTCATGATGCTCGCCTCCCGCCTCGTCACATCTGTGCAATCACTGGGGCGAAGCGTTTTGCAAGCGTTTGCAGCTTGGGGAGGGCATGTGACCAGAAAGCTACCCGGCTGATGCTCATGATGCTCGCCTCCCGCCTCGTCACATCTGTGCAATCACTGGGGCGAAGCGTTTTGCAAGCGTTTGCAGCTTGGGGAGGGCATGTGACCAGAAAGCTACCCGGCTGATGCTCATGATGCTCGCCTCCCGCCTCGTCACAACTGGGGCGAAGCGTCTTGCAAGCGTTTGCAGCTTGGGGAGGGCATGTGACCAGAAAGCTACCCGGCTGATGCTCGTGATGCTCGCCTCCCGCCTCGTCACATCTGTGCAATCACTGGGGCGAAGCGTTTTGCAAGCGTTTGCAGCTTGGGGACGTGATGCTCGCCTCCCGCCTCGTCACATCTGTGCAATCACTGGGGTGAAGCGTTTTGCAAGCGTTTGCAGCTTGGGGAGGGCATGTGACCAGAAAGCTACCCGGCTGATGCTCATGATGCTCGCCTCCCGCCTCGTCACATCTGTGCAATCACTGGGGCGAAGGGTTTTGCAAGCGGCTGCAGCTTGGGGAGGGCATGTGACCAGAAAGCTACCCGGCTGATGCTCATGATGCTCGCCTCCCGCCTCGTCACATCTGCGCAATCACTGGGGCGAAGCGTTTTGCAAGCGTTTGCAGCTTGGGGAGGGCATGTGACCAGAAAGCTACCCGGCTGATGCTCATGATGCTCGCCTCCTGCTCGTCACATCTGTGCAATCACTGGGGCGAAGCGTTTTGCAAGCTTTTGCAGCTTGGGGGGGGCATGTGACCAGAATACTACCCGGCTGATGCTCATGGTTCTCGCGTTTTGCAAGCGTTTGCAGCTTGGGGAGGGCATGTGACCAGAAAGCTACCCGGCTGATGCTCATGATGCTCGCCTCCCGCCTCGTCACATCTGTGCAATCACTGGGGCGAAGCGTTTTGCAAGCGTTTGCAGCTTGGGGAGGGCATGTGACCAGAAAGCTACCCGGCTGATGCTCATGATGCTCGCCTCCCGCCTCGTCACAACTGGGGCGAAGCGTTTTGCAAGCGTTTGCAGCTTGGGGAGGGCATGTGACCAGAAAGCTACCCGGCTGATGCTCATGATGCTCGCCTCCCGCCTCGTCACATCTGTGCAATCACTGGTTCGAAGCGTTTTGCAAGCGTTTGCAGCTTGGGGAGGGCATGTGACCAGAAAGCTACCCGGCTGATGCTCATGATGCTCGCCTTCCGCCTCGTCACATCTGCGCCATCACTGGGGCGAGGCGTTTTGCAAGCGTTTGCAGCTTGGGGAGGGCATGTGACCAGAACGCTACCCGGCTGATGCTCATGATGCTCGCCTCCCGCCTCGTCACATCTGTGCAATCACTGGGGCGAAGCGTTTTGCAAGCGTTTGCAGCTTGGGGAGGGCATGTGACCAGAAAGCTACCCGGCTGATGCTCATGATGCTCGCCTCCCGCCTCGTCACATCTGTGCAATCACTGGGGCGAAGCGTTTTGCAAGCGTTTGCAGCTTGGGGAGGGCATGTGACCAGAAAGCTACCATGATGCTCATGATGCTCGCCTCCCGCCTCGTCACATCTGTGCAATCACTGGGGCGAAGCGTTTTGCAAGAGTTTGCAGCTTGGGGAGGGCATGTGACCAGAAAGCTACCCGGCTGATGCTCATGATGCTCGCCTCCCGCCTCGTCACATCTGTGCAATCACTGGGGCGAAGCGTTTTGCAAGCGTTTGCAGCTTGGGGAGGGCATGTGACCAGAAAGCTAGCATGATGCTCATGATGCTCGCCTCCCGCCTCGTCACATCTGTGCCATCACTGGGGCGAAGCATTTTGCAAGCGTTTGCAGCTTGGGGAGGGCATGTGACCAGAAAGCTACCCGGCTGATGCTCATGATGCTCGCCTCCCGCCTCGTCACATCTGTGCAATCACTGGGGCGACGCGTTTTGCAAGCGCTTGCAGCTTGGGGAGGGCATGTGAAAAGAAAGCTACGCGGCTGATGCTCATGATGCTCGCCTCCCGCCTCGTCACATCTGTGCAATCACTGGGGCGAAGCAAAACGATGCTCGCCTCCCGCCTCGTCACATCTGTGCAATCACTGGGGCGAAGGGTCTTGCAAGCGTTTGCAGCTTGGGGAGGGCATGTGACCAGAAAGCTACCCGGCTGATGCTCATGATGCTCGCCTCCCGCCTCGTCGCGTCTGTGCAATCACTGGGGCGGGGGCATGTGACCAGAAAGCTGCCCGGGTGATGCTCATGATGCTCGCCTCCCGCCTCGTCGCGTCTGTGCAATCACTGGGGCGAAGGGTCTTGCAGGCGTTTGCAGCTTGGGGAGGGCATGTGACCAGAAAGCTACCCGGCTGATGCTCATGATGCTCGCCTCCCGCCTCGCCGCATCTGTGCAATCACTGGGGCGAAGGGTTTTGCAAGCGTTTGCAGCTTGCGGAGGGCATGTGACCAGAAAGCTACCCGGCTGATGCTCATGATGCTCGCCTCTTGCCTAGTGGCATCTGTGCAATCACTGGGGCGAAGGGTTTGCAAGCGTTTGCAGCTTGGGGAGGGCATGTGACCAGAAAGCTACCCGGCTGATGCTCATGATGCTCGCCTCCCGCCTCGTCACAGCTGCGCACCACTGGGGCGAAGGGTTTTGCGGGGGTTTGCAGCTTGGGGAGGACATTTGGCCAGAAAGCTACCCGGCTGATGCTCATGATGCTCGCCTCTTGTCTCGTCACATCTGCGCAAGCACACTGGGGCAAAGGGTTTTGCAAGTGTTTGCAGCTTGGGGAGGGCATGTGACCGGAAAGCTAGGAGGATCACAGGATATCACAAGGCGTTAGGACGGTGGGGTTTCTGGGGTTTCTCATCATGCATTGCCATCCTCCGGCCCTTTCCGAGCGCAGGCAATTCTGCAGAAATGCATCAAGATCGCAGACGAGGCCACACGGAGCCCAGAGCTGTGGCGGCCGCCACACTGCTCTACCAAGTAAATCCTTGTTGGGCCTGTTTAGTCTAAGACTTAAGACTATAAGAAATGCATCACTGCAGTTACTAGCTCAGCAGATGTGCACAGAGCAGTCTACGAGCCATGGCCCAGTCTTGCAGCAACTCGTGTCCCGATCGATATGCTTCAAAGTCTGATTTCTCGGCTCTTTCGGCTTCTGTGCAAAGATGCACCAGGCGCCGACAGACCTCAAGTCGAACTTGCGTCGCTCCTATGCGAAGTTCTCTCAGGACAGCAGGGTGCCGCGTACTAAAGTGCACTAAGCAGGGCACTAAAGAGTGCTAAAGTGTACTAAGCAGTGTACGAAAGTGTACTAGTACAGCAGGTCTTGGAGTGGTCTTTCCATGTCTGAGCTTGCCAAGAGAAGCGAATGCTTAATTAAGAGCTCTCGAGGACCACATCGAGGCATGTCACAAGCCACGGGAGTACAAGGCAGAGCAGTTCTCCAGCATCACGGTTTGTAGAGGTCATATAGAGTTTATATAGGGGTTTATATAGGGTTTAAGGTATGGTTTCTAGATAGGAGGAACCCCAAACATCAGAAGTATCGGTCCTGGATCTAATCTCTGCAGCGCTTTGCAGCATGCAGGCGACGCTGTTCGCGCTCTGCTTTTTTCATGCCCTGGTGTTGGGCAGGCCTCGTGGCCCTCAAGAACCCTAAACCGTGAACCCAAACCCAAACTTCATCATGGCTGCCCAGGATCAAGTTTGGTCCACAGGGTTGGTCCAAGAAGTATCCCTTCAACGATGGAGATCTGACAATATGTGCCCAGGCAGGGCATCACACGTGTCTCTGCCTGTTATGGCTGCCTAGTTTGGCCTGGTTCCAGTCTGGAGGTGCTGTGCAACTACCTCAATAACTCTGAGAAGATTGGCACCGAAGCCAGAAGCTCAGTGGACTGCTGACTGCTCCTTGATCGAACGGCTCGTATCTTGACACCTGGGGAGGTTCCCTGGCCAGATATCAGATACATCTTTGGAGAGATCATGTATGGCCCCATTCCAAGCATGCCTGCAGCATGTGGATCATGATCATGCCTCCGGTTCGCCCACAGTATCGCGACTTCAGCGCTTTGCAGCCACCAGCCTCGTGCGAAGGTGGTCACATCACAGATCAATGGGATCGAAGAGTTTGCAACACGTGAGCCGATCTTCTGTTCAGTCGAAACACATTCAAGACTCAAGCATGAAAGGGGTTCATGCCCCATATGTCTCGATGCCGGATATCCCTAACCAACCCATCCACGCCAGGCATGGCCTCCAAATCTGAGGGTCGTACGTGGAGGTACCTGGAGACCCTGGTCATTCCAGAGCTACTCAGCAACATGTCGCTGGCGCCGGGGCTAAAGTCTCCAGATGCGTCAAAGATGGAGTTCCGCACTCAGGGTGTGGCGGCCGTTGTGCCGTTTGAGAACGCTTCTCCTTAGAAGGCTCTTGTTTCATTGTTGACTAGGTACACCTCATACCAGAAATACATCGAGGCTTGATTCTGCGTGTTGCAGAGCCACCGCGAAAATTCTAACAATTGACGTGTTCCAACACATCTTGAAGAGGAGCGCTTTCCGCCAGAGATGCCGCAGCTCTTTGGCTCTCCGCCTCAGGAGAACTCGGGACAGCTATCGCCACGTGTATCACTATACTCGCCAAAACAACTCACTGCTTGATGTCACCTTGATACCTCCCTCCCCCTTTTGCACTCTGGCAGCTCCTCAGGTTTGCATCCAAATGCCGAGATTGGGTTCCTCACCAGTGCTGCTCTCGGTGCTTGCACTTGCTTGCCTCCATGAGGCCACTCGGACATCACCTGACCCATTTTATCGTGAGCAGAGGTCAGGGTATCAACATATTCAAAACAGCCCCAGCCTCAAAGTACGGTTGCCTGCCGTGCTCGAAACTTGAAACGCCCGAAGTGCTCGACGAGGTTCAGATGGTGTCCGGGGCCGACAGCGGTGCGGGGCACTTAGATCGCATGTAGAAGCTGCGTCCGATACGCAGAGCTGATCAGACACCGCTGTCCGGCACCGTATTTGCCGACCACTTTGACTAAGTCATGAAGTCCACACATCTTGTCCCCAACCTCCATGTCCGCATTGTTGAATCATGTCCTAGGCGGCCACCCTGGACCTCTTGGCTTGTATACCTCTCATAGCCAAGTGCGCTTCCGCATGGCATTCTAGCCTTTGTCCGCACGAACATCGCTGTCTGACGATCGTCTGACGATCTGCGAAAGCATCCACAACCGGCCTTTGTGCTTCCAGCGCCCAACATACAGTGTCATTACTGAAGGGCCCTTTGCTTGTGAAAGGCCGCGTCTGGATCGGTGTCGAGTTCGGGTGAGCTTGTACCGCGAGGTACAAAGACGAGCTTCCTCCAGACTTGGACATGCCGGAGATCCGGGGTGCTTCGGTCGCATGTGGCAGCCTTGCCTCAAAAGCGTGGCATGGGCAACAGTCTGAATCAGTGTGGTTCTGTACCGCAGCTGATGGTCCCAAAGCTTTGGCGCACATTCTTGTTCTTTTTTGTCTTGCAGTGCAGGCAGGCTGCGGGAAGAGGATTACACTCCCTACGTCATCACCTCTCTTCAGGACTTACGCCTCGCCGCAAGGAAATTTTGTGGGCCGTCCTTCCCGAACCCCAAACCCTATAAACCCTGTAAACCCTATAAACCCTATAAACCCCCTAGACCCTCTGCTGTTGTGACGCAGGAGAGTGATCGCATGAACCTCCTCGTCGGAACGATCAGAAATTCTTTAACAGAGCTCGAGTTGGGCATTAGCGGCGGGGAGCCCAACGGTTGGTTAACAGACTTTGTGTGGACCTCGGCTCACCCTAAACCCCCTAAGTACCCTAAACTTCCTATAAGCCCTAGGCCCTACACCCTAACAGTACTCATTCCTTTTGGGAACACTCCTGAGGTGCTCTGAACATTACGGAAGGGATGGAGGCGCTCTCCACATCCCTGCAGCTGAATCGCGTCAATGACGCATGGTAGGAGCGCCCAGTTATGGGGGGGGGGGCGGGGGGGATCCTACCTGGTAGGACGGTCGGCTGTTACAAAGTTGCAGCATGCCTGGCTTGGTCACCGCGGTCCCAACAAGGCAAAAGCTCGCCTATCCGTCTCTGAAGCCGCTGTCTGGTTGGTTTGCAGATCTTCTGGGCCGAATGCAGCAGCAAGGGGCCCAGTGAATCTCCCTGCATGCCAGCGACTGCGTCAGTCATGGACTTGTTTCACAGGCTGGTGGAGTGGACCAACGAGAGATCAGGTCTGCTGAAATCGATCCTTGGCTTAGTCAACTTAGAGTCAACTTAGAGCAAGCAGTGCCTGCAAGTAGCAAGCCTGTGCAAGCTGCAACGCCGCAAGCTCAGCAGACAAGGATTTGGATTTCTGGGCTCTTCAACCCAATGGCCTTTCTTACAGCAGTCATGCAGGCCGGAGACACGAACTGACATCAGTCGCGGAGCACCAGAGTTGTCAGGTTACAGCCAGAAACAAGCAGCTGCCGCTGGACTACATGACAAATAGAGCAACCGTGCTGAACATCCTGGACTGAACTGCTTAGCTGCTGGGCTTCAGGGTTTAGGGTTTAGGGTTTAGAGGTTACAAATGCTCGCGTCCACACAACCTGGCAGCCCAACCTGGCACCGCAAGCAGGACCCCACCGACATTGTTGGCTTGCCAGCAAATGGTGTACACATACACGGGTCGGAACCCCAGTTCATTCGCCATTGTTATTCAGATTTATTCAGAGAAGTTGAGCCGCCCAAACTCTCCGTTCACTTCGGAGTGAAAGTCTTCCCTGCACGTAGTTTCAGTTTCCAGCGTGCCGTCTATTCGAGGAAAGTAGGAACGCGAGGAGCTGGGAAGAAGTCGCGGATACAAGTTTTGTGCGGCCGTGAGGGGGCGGGAGTGTGGCCGGGCTGCTGCTATGTTCCGCTCCCAGACTCCAGACCCAAGCGCCGGCTGCAAGGACACAGACATGGACCAGCCTCGACAAGCAGCCGAGCCTGCGACGCACAACCTTTCACCAGAAGCGTTGGTCGGAACCGCGGAGATGGAAGCGGCAGGGCCATCACAGAGCATAGACCAAGCGGCATCCGGCGGCAGCTTCCAACAGGAACACGTGGCGCACTGCCCAACTGAGTATGAAGACCCCGAGACCCATTTTTCCTTGAGTGTTCTTTGTCCGTAGAGGAGCAACTTGTCGATGTCAGCGAGAGGATGCGTCTCTGAAATCGGTGCCCGACTTTCAGCTTACGGGCCCCCTTATTCGCCTACTAATCCTGGCAAAGCTACACAAGCTCCGATAGTGACAAGCGTGCTTGCTACATTGTTCCCTGGTTTTTTGCTCAGGCTGTTTCTGGAGGGGGCCAGCTGGGAGGAAGGCAAGGGCGACGATGAGGCTGACTCCAAAACCCATGCTGAGACAAGTCTTATAGGGTCAATTTAGGGCCAACAGCACCGTAGACTTCGAATCTCTGTGTCTCTGTGTGTCACATAAATCTGCGCCGGATGGCGCCATGATGCAGTTGACATGTCATGCAAAGGGCTACATCTCTGACAGCAAGATGAAAGAGCTTCATCCAGAGATGCACACCTCCCGGGTTGTGAGGGAGCTGCCCGTAGCATCGGCAATTGAGCTGCAGAGTCTAGCCTTGTTCGGGCTCTGAGGCCTGTGGTCAACATCTTCTCGGTTCACATTGCTGAAATGAGTTGGGAGAACATGCGCCCTTGCTCGGGTGTTATGTGTCGCTGCAAATGCTCATAATGTCGGGAGGGGTGTGCTCTTGGACTATCATCACATGTCTTGACGAGCTGATGATGCGTTGGCTCATGATCTTCCGGCACGTGATATAAGTTCGCCCATGCTAGAGAAGCGGTTTACCTGCCAACGTGCAGCATGAACAGATGATCCTGTTCTTCTCAACTCTACATGCGGTCGAAGCTTCCGAAACGCACAATCTCAGATTGACCAGCAGCGTCTCCAATCGTCGCCATGCTCGCAACGCACGGGCTGCTAGTGAAGCCCGAACCTCCGTGGGCGGGTCTGGCAGTGCTATGTCCGAGACCTTGGTTGCCAAAGGCAGGGGCCTTGGGATAAAATATCACCCCGCTCCTCCTCATTCAGGGTATGCGGGTATGCTGCTTGACCAAAGGCAGCTTTTCGATACGAAAAATCAGCAGGGAGAGCTGCCAGAGCTGCCCTGCAGGATCAGCAAGTGTATGACACCTGCGGCAAAGAGGCCAGTCGACGTGTTCTTGCACAGGGTGGATTTAGCGAGGGCTGCTTTCAAGCTCGCAGTCGAAGTCATTTACACCTTGAGAAGAACGGAGTACAAGAGTATGAACAACCGTGAACACTACACGCATGTGCTTGCACTAGAGCGGTCTGAGACGGTCTGAGCTTCAAGCAGCTCCTCACAGCTTCAGCTTCACACCTGTCGCCACAGGACTATTGCGTCTGCTTCTTGCAGAGTCGAGTGGGCGATTCTCAGAGAAGGGTGCAGGGCTTAGGCCATCTGCGCTGTCCGAAGCCTGTCAGTGTTTGTTAGACTGTTTTAGTGGCTGTTTCGGTATTTCAGCCTTGTATGCCACGAGTCTCCACGGCAGCTCAGGCAATGTTTCCTGGCGGGTCCTTGTCCCCGGCAGATCGCTACCTTGCCAAAAACAACCTGGTAGACGCGAGCAAGAGCGATGAGGCGGGTCCTACAGAGGAGCCTGCGCACTATGTGCATCGTCCCTTCAGGATCTGACAAACTGCCCCTGAGTCAGGTCTTCCTTGGGCTCAGATTGGCTGCCATCCGCAGGACGTGGCTCGGACACGTACGTATGTTTTTCTCCGATCCAAAGCTCGCAATTTAGGGTTTTGGGAAGTATTATGTCTGTCCAGGTTTGAAGCTGCTGGAATCATGGTGGCCGCCAATCCACCGCCGAGCTTTGCGCGACAAGAGCTACAAAAGATACTGCTCCGAGAAGGCCCAATGGCATTTCATGCGTTTCTGGACGACTGGGGCATTCGATTGAGAGTCTTGGATGATGCTTCAGACCCCAAAGAAAACTGCTTGGAAGTTTAGCATTCGCGTGCAGGATGACGCATCAAGTCTGTCTAAAGACATGAGGACCAGAAGATCTCTTCGAGCTCTCCTGGTTCCTGATGCCAGGGCCACATGGTGAAGAGCATATCTTCCTGGTGCAAGTCCCTGATGCCGATGAGGCACTTCGCATGGCAGCAGTAGTATCTGGTGTGATATCTCATAACACATATCGAGAGTGCCAGCCAGAACGCGCATGTGATTTGCTGAGCCCTGCTGCAAAGCATCATGAGGGACTGACAAATGAGAGATTTCAAGTCGATGGGTGCATGCACATCTCCCAAGGCATGTTGGGCAAACAATGCTGGATCTGAAGCCTGGGACGTGGCTTGGGCAACCCCATCGGACTTCCTGGAGTTGCACAGGCAAGATGTTTCAATTGAACGTCGAGCACCACCAGAATGCTGCATTTAGTTACACCGCGCAATGCCGCAATGTCCTAAACGGCCCTAAACCTCACATTCACCAGGCAGCACGAGCTGGAACTGACTCTGGCGCAGTGGCACCAGGGTGTTCTTCAGTCTTCAGCATAGGCATTGTGCTTGACAGGGAACACCCAAACAGATAGATATGTGTATGTATTGCATATACTTACAGCAAGCGTATTGTTCTGTGATCTGCGCATACTGTGTCCCTTGATTTGTCCACACCCCTGGTTTCATGTCCGCTGTGAAATGCAGGGCTCTCATGGGTCAGATGTTGTAGGGTCATGTTCACGTGAAAGGCGGAGAGGTTTGTCCCGACCCAGCTCTCAGGTACGTGATCCATGAGCTTGCCAACAGCCTGCCACTGATCTCTGCTCTGCCAGACCTTGCCAAGTCCCGTACTTCGTCGCTGTGGCGGGCACGGGCACTGCCACTGAGCCCATGCAGTGGCCTGGGTGAAGAGGAGCATGCGGGGCAAGTTTCAGGTGTTCGACAGTTTTTGACCCATTACAGCATGCACCAGAATTGACCAGAATGCTTCGTCGGTCTAAGACCTCTTGGCGTCCGGTAGGGAAGGGTCCAGATGCAAACGCCTCGGGGTTGTGTGGCATTCAGCTGTTGGGGTCAGGAAGGGATCAGGGTGGGGTGGGTGGAGGATTGTGTGGAAGAGTTGAAGGAGCCTTGTTTCCTTTTGCCTGGTGATGAACATCACGAAGGCTGTCCCGGTGGGAACGGTGCCTTCGCTGCAATTTGCTTTTGGTCAAGCTTTGCTTGGACGGCTGACAGTTTCACGATTGCCTATGAGGTGAGCGACATCGCTTTTGGATGAAGGCGGCAGGACCACAGCTGAGAGTGCAGCGACTTGAGCGGACCGTACCCGATGCTCTCTCCAGTCGTCTCTGAACATGTTTGGAACAAGGTCAGAGCTTTGTCTGTCGCATGGTTTGCGAGTTGCCCGTCTTGAACTATTTAAAGCGTTTTGTCGTGCGCGCATGCAGTCCAGAGCAACGATTTTCCAGCTCTGCATGTCATGTATGGCGCACCGTTAATGCGAGCTGCTGGGAACAGTGCGTGGGACGTGTTTTCCTCAGAAAGTGCTGCAAATGTGTGCTTGTAGAGCTTCGCTCTTTCCAGCCACCTTGCATCTGCTTGAAGCAACCAGTCTCATCGGATGCATGGATTGTGCCTGCACGGTTGTCACTCTGCAAACCTTTGCCAGCAGTGGCAGCAGAATGGGGGTGGCAAGTGCAAAAAGGTGCTGCTGCAAAGTAGATTCCGGAGATTAACTCAGCTTCGACTAATGAATGGAGATGTCGATTCACCGTAGCGTTGCCTCGCAAAAGGTACCACTGTCCTGTCTTCATCACTCCGGAGCGCGGACTAACATACGTGACACAGGCTCCTGAGCGACTGTCCCTGTCTACACCCGATAGCTGTGTAGTTTTGGTTGATTTTGAAGAGGTGAATGTGCGGATGGACCCCGACGATGACGAGAAGCGCTGGATTCTGGCAGGGGCCGCGCTGGCCGGGATCTTGTTCTTCTGACTTCGTGTGCTCATGTGCTCATGATTTTTGGTCGACCCTTACTTGAACAGAAAAGAACTGTCAGCTTTGCATAGCGGCATTACCTCCGGCCCAGTGGCTCAGTTGGTTCTCCGATATGAAGACGGGAAGATACGAGCTATAGCAGCTAATGGACTCTGAATCAGTGCAGCCGATGCACACTGATACTAGAGGCAGATCTCGTGCGCACCAGCGATTTATTACAAGAACCCCCAATGTTAACGCGCTCTACCGTGCCTTCACCTTTCCCCCTCCGCCCCCTCCCAAAGCAAAAAAGTGTCAGGTCATGACGGACGACTAAAAGTTCATGACCATGGGTCTGTGGGCCAAGCTTCCTCCACAGGCCAGAGGTCGGCTTCTCCCCAGTTTTTTTAGTTTTAAGAAGTTTGTCGAGGACCTCTGGCCGAGGATGTGTTCAAAGCGTAATAATGTGCATATACGCGGTGTAGAAGTAGATGAAGACAAGGTTTGGAGTGGCTCGATCTGAAATGTTGAGAACCCATGTCGTCGGACTCACTACCAACTGCAAACCTCGTCGCGTTGTCTCACGACAGCCAGCGGAAAGCAGGCAGTGCACGGTGCGCAGGTTCATAGTTTCGAGGCTCTTGTGCAAGCCGCGGAGCCGTGCACACCTGCTGCAAGCTGACAGACAAACCAATTCAACCGATTCAACACACAACTTAAGGTTTAGGGCTTTAGAGGTTAGGGTTTAGGCCACCAACAAAACGAGAGATTACTCCCTTCTTGTCACGCAGAAGGGTCCTGATGGTGGCCACAAGAGCCCTTGGCCATCTCGCGCAAGCCCCAGAGCGAAATCTGCTCGGTGCACAGTCCAAAGTACCCGACTCGAATTGCGACCAAAAGCGTCGGTCACATGCACATGCTTCTCGATCGAGTTGTCAGCCTTTAGGGTAGACATACAGCGCCCATCAGCGCCCTGCTGTACTCTAACACTTCGATCCTAGACGGGTCTCAGCAAGAGTTTGTAGCCAAACAATCGCACAAACCATGCGATCTTTGTGCTCAACTGTCGATGAGGTCAGCGCCAAGGCCACAGTGCTAAGCTACCTCCTGAATTCGGTGTGTTTCTGCGGAGTTCTGATTCTTGTCTTATCTTCGTTGCCAGGTTGCGGCCTTGCCATTGACGGGTTGATCAATACTTCAGCAGGGGGCAAGTAAAGAAAATTAAGAATGTGTGTTCTGATGTAGGAGTGTTAGAACTGACCAAGAGAACGTATTTGGCCCGCTACAGTTCACCAAGTTTATTGAGCGCACAGCGGGGGCTAAAAATTTAAGCCGTGCACCGTCGCCGCAGCCACGCGTAGGAAGCAAACAAAAAAAAGAGACACATGTGGCATCAAGAGATAGGTGCTAGTAACTTACTAGTAGACGATGCCTACCTGAGAATCTTGGACCCTTCCTGCATAGCTCCAAGCTGCAGCTGTTGCCATTGACTTGATGTTTGAGATGATGCACTCGCACAAGATTCACCAGATGAGGCTTGCAAGAACAATACGGCACCCTGTAGAGCGCATGCACAAAGCGCATGGAATGGCGTGTCGCTGAGCTGCTCACAGGACTGCGATGGCGTGGCAGGCAATTGAGCGGCGAGGGTCATGGCAACTGAAGCTGATGCAAACCTATCTCCCTGAGCAATATGAACGGAATTTTTCAGCTAAGCATGTCGGGTCGTGAGCTTCACGCAGTCATCTTGCACACAATCTGCAGCACATATCGCAGCACTCTCAAAAACACCGGTGCAGAAAGACTGCAGCCAAAAGAAGCACAGCGGCTCACCTGTATTTCTGTCAGTGTCTACAGCGTGCCAGGCAGCGCGGCTGCTTAGCAGGTCGCAGGCGGTTGGGCGTGCAATTAACCCCTTCTACGTGCACACAATAATCTTAAATGTTGTGGCAGGCGGCAAGTCCAGTAGATCTTGATGTGTACGGTGCAGCTGAGCTTTCAACCTCACAAATATAGCAGAAAGCTGTATTCATCAATGCTCCGCTCAGAACCATGCCAGGCAACGCGCGCTACTTCTGGAAGTGCAAGGCGCCACCTCTTAGAACCCAGGGCCGAAGGACAGAAGTATTCTGGCCCTTGAATTCTGGTTGCACAGGCCATCAAAGGCCCAAGAAGCCTAAGCCCGAGGGCCCTAAACTTTCCTAAGCCGCAATCTGCAGGTGCCTTGCCTGCAGCCCGGTGTTGCGGCTGAGGAGTGAGGCTTATGTCCAGGCACAAGGGTTAAAAGGGAAGTCCGGATGGTTCAGGCATTTAGGGGTGGACTTCCTTTCCTTGCGGGGTAGAGAAGCACGCAGTGACATGAGACGGCACCTGTAATCGGTGATGTCAGATCTGGCTGGGGGGTGCCTCTGTCAGACTGGCCAGGTTCCTTCAGCGCATACCGCATAAACTCCTGGAAGACACCGGGACTAGAGGAAAACTGCCCATTCAGCGTCAGCTTTTGATAAACTCAGACCTTGCTTGCAGGACCATCTCTTTCGGCATCGCAGTCAAGACGACAATCTTCATAAGGCGCTGTGGCACTAGCGTCACGAAGCTCCCCGTCTATCTCCATGGGTTTCCCAAAATAAGGGTACCTGTACCCCTTTTATACCCCAAACAGCATGAATCCCCTTATAAAGGGACCCTCCAACAAGGGTAACCCCCCCCCCCCCCGTGGGTGGCTTAAATAGGGTCTATTTGGAAGCTGGGACTCGGGTTTTCTTATAGCCATACACGTTTCCACTTTGGTACGCTGCTGTCACGTCAGTCGTACTATGGAGGCCTCAGGAACAAGAACCAGGTAGTTCCTCTTTTCTCTTCTCTTTTTCTCCTCAATCCTAAAGTCGAAGGCTCTCGTGAGGAGAAGAGAAGGGAGAGAAGGAGGGAAAGATAAGAGGAACACGATTTTCATGGGAAGAGCCAAGAAAAGAATAGAAGAGAGATAAAACAAGGCGCAAAGAAGATGGTACTCTTCTTTATCTATCCTCTCTCCCTTATCTCTCCGTTCCCTCTGTCTTTTCGAAATGAGAAAAACAAAAAGAAAGATGAAAAGAAGAAGGGTTAGGAAAAGAGCCGAAGAGATAGGCCGAAAAGAGGGGTATGGTGAAGTACGGCAAAGGTCCACGCACAAGGAGTCACCTTCTGCTTACCCTTCCACTGCTTGATTTTACAAGCTCCTTTCTTGTGTTTTATCAGTTAAAATTAAAAGGAAACAGAAGGAGAGAAGGGAAAGGGAAGTGAGAGAGGAGAGACAACAAGGAGGCCATTTTAATTTCCTGTGAGTTATCAAAAGGAATGCAATATTATGGGAAGAGCAATGGAAAAAAAGAGTGGAAGAGAAATTAAGACAGGAGAGGGAGGTGCAAAAATAAGGCAAAGAGAAGATGGTGCCGTTTTCATCTCACCTCTCGTTCTTATCTTCCTCTTCTCTGGTTCTTTTCCCTGTGAAATACAAAACAAAAGGAAGGACAATGAACATATAAAGGAACCCGTTTTCGTTTTCCGTTTGGGCACAAGGAAAAGAAACAGAGGCGATAGGGCGAGAGGAGGGGTTTGCTGAAGCATGGGGAGGGTGTACGGGCAAGGGGCCAACTCCGCCCACTTCCCCCATCCATTGAAAGAGGAAAAGGAACAGGGCCTCCATTCCCCTCTTATTCTTCCTTTCTTGCGTTTTTGTCGTTTAGAAGGGAACAGGAGAAGAGGAGGGAGAGAGAAGGAGAGAGGAGACATAAAAAGGGTTGCATTTTTAATGGGAAGAGCAAAGAAAAGACCAGAAGAGAGATGATGGGAGAAGAGGGGGAGACAAAACAAGGCGCACAGAAAATGGGCAGATAAGAAGAGAGGAAAGGGAATGACCAAGTACAATGAGGAGTTCTTCAATTTCCCTCCCTATCTCTTATGTTACTTTTCCTTCTTGTGGGGTGTCCCTTTTTCTCTTGAAGATGCAGAAAACGATTGAAAAGGACACCCGTTCCATCGCCCATATGTAGGGAAAGAGAGAGAATCATGAGCATCAGCTGGGCTTGCTGCCAATCCAACATGGGCGTCCCTTTTAATCGCATTCTGTGTCCTTTTTTCTCGCTTGAAGATGCAGAAAACGATCCAAAAGCACATCTGTTGGAGGAAGAGAGAAGGAGAGAGGAGAGATACCAAGGATTGCATATTTAATGGGAAGAGCAAGGAAGAGAATAGAAGACAGATGAATAGAGAAGATGGCGCTCTTCTTTATCTATTCTCTCTCCCTTGTTTCTCCCTTCCCTCTTTCTTTTCGAAATGAGAAAAACAAAAAGGAAGAACTATGAGAAGGAGAAGAGTAAGGAAAGGAACAGAAGAGA